CACTCACTCACTCACTCACTCACTCACTCACTCACTCGGGTTATACACAGGCCTAAGAAGCAAGGAACATCTTGCTTCTTATCCATCTCCACAGATGGAAAAGCAAAATAGGACAGAAGGCATGGGACAACTATAAATAGACAATCTGACAATGACTTCAAAACAGTATTAAAAACTTTAAACAAGATACTGAAAGGTCAGTCAAAGGCAGACAGGCAAGTGCAAGGTCCTGCCCAGGAGGTGCAGGCACCACAGTGCTTCACTAAAGAAACCCAGTGTGTAAAAAGGTCACAAAAAGATTCTGAATGAAATGCAGACAAACTTGGTGCTTTAAGTAGAATTAAACAGGTAGAAGAAAAAAGTTGTAGAAGACTCACGTGAACCAATCACATGCTTAGAAGCGAGTAAAGACAAAGGGAAAATGAGGAATATCACACTTAGAAGAAGAAAGCTTAGAATGAACAGGTTCCAGGGAAGAAAAAAGCAGAAACTTTACTGAAAATAATAACTGAGAACTTCCCAAACCTGCAGAATATGATGTCCAGGAAACAGAACACCCAAATTCTTAAATGCAAAAAGATCTACACCCAGACACACCATTGTCAAAATAACAAAAAGAAAAAAAAAAGGAAAAAAAAATTGCAAGAAGTGTGAGGAAAACACACAACACAACACACACACACAAAACCCAAAACAAAACAGTAATTTACAAGGGCTCCCAAGTTAAGATTTCCCCAAATTTCAGCCCAGACACTCTCCAAGAAAGAAGACTGGAAGGCAAGAATTCTCAATTCTGCAAATTATCGTTAAGTATGAAGGTGCCATAAAGGTTTCTCAAGTAGGAACAAGTTAATGGAGTTTGCCACTAGATGTGCTTTTCAAGTAACATTAAAAGATGTTCTTCTACAAGAAAAGAAAATTTGAAATACAAACTCCTTAGCAAAATAATAGCAAGACAACACTAGCAACAAGAGTAAGAATACTATGAGTCAGCAACAAAACACTGAAAAGGAAGAAGAAATGCACAGAACCAGTATGGTTAAATGTCAGAAAGCAGACATCAGCTCATAAAGGACCTAAAACAGGAATCCAAGTAAAACCCCCATGGTAACCACTAACCAAAAATCCAAACTAGACACCCACAGATGAAGAAGCAAGAAATAGATAAAAATACTAAGGAAAGTCATCCAAAAAGTGTAGAGAGAAGCAAAAGGAAAAAGAAAACAATGAAAAAGAAAATTAACAACGAACAGTTCCTATCAATAATTTACTCTAAATGTGAATGGTCTGAATTCACCAATAAAAAGTCATAGGTTAACAATGCAGGTGAAAAAATTTCAGCCATTAATACTTTGTTTACAAGAGACAAAAAAAAAAACAAACTAAAAATAATAGGCTGGAATCAGAAACTGCTATTTTCATATCTGATAAGCTAGATTTTTCAACTAAAAAAGTAATTCAGGGACAAAGTCAGACACTATATAATGATCAAAGAAGCAATTCAGCAAGAGGATATAACTGTTATTAATATTTATGCTCCATGTACCAAAGCACCTAGTGATATATAAAGCAACTATTAACAAAATCACCTATCAACAAAAATGCCATTGGGGATAGTTCAACACTCCACCAACACAAAGGATAGACACCCAAACAAAAAATTAACAAAGGCCTTAAATAAAGTATTCGATAAAATGGATTTACTGGATTTTATAGTTTTCCATGCTAAAATTAAGGAAAACACTTTCTTCTCCAGTGTGCAGGGAACACTTTCAAAAACAGATCATAGATGAGGACATAAAACAAGTCTCAGAATATGTATAAAAATAGAAACTGTATCAAGCATCTTCACAGACCACAATACTATAAAGCTATACGTTGACCATAAAAGGAATCCTGCAACAAACAAAATATATG